TGCATTTCTCTCCCCACCCGCCCCGTTTTTGATCCCATTCCCCACTCCACCCCCACAAAATGTCTCTGGTATATGGTTGGAACCTCCCCTTTTTATGGAGAAACCTGTTTAAAAAGTTAAGACTTGGGGTAATTGCCTCAGGTATTCCAGTTCACCTGTTCTCTTCAATTTGGCCTATGGGGCCTCCTTGGCGGAGCAGGGAGGGGTTAAGTCTTAGTGCTATCAAGTTATCTCTAGCCGCTTCAGCATGTGTTCATCCCGGTCAGGGAGTTGACCCACATGGCACTGCAGACCTCTCCTATCTTACCCACTGCTCCCCTCAGCCTGTATTTCAGTAGACCTGCCTGTTCTGCTCCCCACTCAGTCTCTGGTGAATCTTCTATCTCCGTGCACCTCTAGCCTACACCCAGTTCTTATATGCATAAATAAATCTTTAAAAAAAAAATTCACCTACCACTCTCCACCCTGTAATGTGTGGTTTTTCACTTATATTAGACCTCCTTAGTGGTGCAAGAAGTCTCAGCACAATGAAGCTATCCTCAATCACTGCACACAAATTCGATCCCCAGACCCAGAGCTGACCCACATAGCACAGCAGACCTCTCCTGTCTCACCTGCCACTCCCCTCAGCAGCATTTTCCAGTAGATCTGCCTGTTCTGTTCCCCACTCTGCCTCTGGTGAACCCTCTCAGTTCTGGGAGGGATACCTGTATCCCGGTTCTTGTATGCATAATAAATAAATTTTAAAAAGTAATAACAAAGAACAGCAAAACTGACGTTTAAGCATAAAGGGCATTAGAAAAATACAGGCCTGGCCTCCATGGTTAAAGTCAGAGCTATCAAGCTATTGGCAGTCACTGTGGTATGAGTTCCCATTGATTTGATACCTGGCCAGGAAGTTATCCCATAAGGAACAGCAGACCTCTCCTGTCCCACCCGCCGGCTCCTCCCCTCAGAAGTGTGAGGAGTGCACCCACACTCTGCCCCCACCCAGACCGGGGGCTCATCGCACCCTTTACTGGGAAGCTCCGAACCCACACCTAGGATCTTCCGTACAATATGGCAACTTCCAGAGACGACGCCCACGACAGCGTTATCCGTACAATATGGCGTCCCACAGCAGTCGCCCGCCCCACCTCCGGTCTGGTCACCGGAAGTTTCCATTTGAAACGGCGGCGGCAAATCCGGCTGGCGGAGTGGCAGTTGTTTCAGAGAGCGGAGCTGCGAGAGCGGCAGTCAGGAGTAGTAGGCACTTGGGTTCGGCACTCCCGGGGCGAAGCTCTCGGCTGGATGTGGGAGGCGGTCGGGATGGGCTGGGTTTCCCGACCTCATCTGGCGCCCGGGCCCAACACCGAGTAACATTCACCTTGCACCTTCCAGCGCCCAGAGGTGCGGCCTCGTCACCATGACCAACGTGGTTAAGACTTTGCACAATCTGCAGCCCCCCGGTGTGCTGAGCGGCGGCCCGCCCGCAGGTGGGTGGACACGCCATCACCGGGTCCCCTCGGCTCCCCGCTCCCCGAGCACTGCTGCTGGCCCGTCGGGCTGGGACAATATGGGGGCGCCAAATCGGCTGCTGGGAATGGGGGGGTAGGGGAGGAGGGCGTTCGTTGGCCCTGACAACCTGCTGACTGACCACCCTTGAACAGTCTGTCTAGGTTTATGGTAGAGTTAGGGGAAGCAGGTAGAAGTTTAGATCTGCCCTGAGACCCACATCCCAAACCAAACCTGCTGCATTTAGCAACTAGGTTCAAATTGCTGATTGTTCAACTGTTTTTCCCACCAAACCGAGAATCCCTCTTGAAACAATTGCCCATTTTATTTCTAGGCTTGGGTTATCTGGAGGGACTCGCTGGAGAGAGAAGCGGGATCTTTAGAGGGCAGTAATTGGATTCACACTGTGTCTGGTTCACGTTTGTATCTGCACAGTGTCGCTTGTATCGTACTTGTTTTCAGTAAATGTGAAGTAAGAGAGAGGGGTCTGGTCCAGCTCCGGAGTATTTGAGAACCCTGGGAGAAGAGATAAGATGGAAAACAAGTTTTTTTTGTTTTTGTTTTTGTTTTTTGTTTTTTGCTTTGCCGTTCTTGCTTTGTGTTGCTGGCTTTAGGTGAACTTAATTTTTTAGGGTCTCAGTTGAGAGAAAACATAACACAGAATAGGCTTCAGAATAATCCCCAGATATCAAAACCTAAGGAAGTATTTTTGAAGCAGCTGTGGGTGACTTTCTTCCAGGTGATTAGAAAAGCTTGTTGATGAGTATTAGCAAGATTGATATGTGAGATAAATAGGCTCCTCTCCAAAGGCTTGTTTTGTTTGCCTTAATTGCTTCAAAACACCTGAATGGAATTCCTGGCAGCAGAGGGCCTACAAATTGCCAGAGGATCTTATTCTGTCTTTCCTTAGACCAGCAATGCCCCTCCTTCTGTGGGGAGTGACTGACTTTCCTCAGCCAAATTGGAAGGTCTCATCTCAGCTTTGTGTCCCTAACCCAGTTGGATGGTTATATGTCTTCAATAGTTTAACATATATATTTTTTAAGATTTATTCATGCATACAAGAACTCAGGTACAGGCCAGAGGTGCAGGCGGTGAGAGGATTCACCAGAGACAGAGTGGGGAACAGAACAGGTGAATTGACTGAAATACATGCTGGGGAGAGCATCAGGGAAGACAGGAGAGGTCTGCTGTGCCATGTGGGTCAGCTCCCTGGCCAGGTATGGAATTCATGCTTCAGTGGCCTTGGACAGCCTCAGTGCTCTGCACTTTAATCTGTTTTGCCACCAGGGAGGGTCCCATAGTGCTGTCTTTAACCCCTTGCACCACCAGAGAGGCCCTCAATAGTTTAACATTTTTAGGCTTTCTCCCAGATGTTTTGTTTGGGGATTAGTTATTTTTGTTGTTGTTTTTTAATTGGTAACATACACAAAAAGAACTCAAAATTGGAGACTTGTTTCTCACTGTATGTCACTTTGTAACTTTGTTCTGTTTATTCATTGAACTACTGTTAAGTGCCAGATGTTCTGCTAGGCTCAGAAAACAATGAAGTCTCTTTAGAATAGTTAGGAAAACAGTCTGGTCAAAAAACTAAGCACCAATTAAATGGTATTGAAGCAGCTTGCATATAGCCTTAAACCATGTAGGGCTCTTCGGAGTTGGTAAGATGGCTCAATTCTACCACTTGTGTATAATGAAGGATTCAACTGTGTTTTGCCCTGCAAACCCCCACACTGCCTCTTACTGTTAGTTTTTTGTGACTGTCTCCACTTTCACATTTAATCCTCTGGACTTGCAGTTAGATAATGTTTCATAAAATGTTGGCTATCGCAAGCATACTGTATTGTCACATTAAAGGAATTTTGGTTTCTACCCCCAATTAGCCTAGAAGTTGCCTGAATTAATCCTTACAAATTGACATTGGCCAAAATGAAAACTCAGAGAGTTATGACCTCTGTTGTGGTGGGCAAATGTTGGTTCACAAATGTTTCACCCTCTTTTTTCTTCCTTCGTAGACACGCAAACTCGAGCCACTTCTAAGAGCCTGCTACCTGTTAAGTCCAAAGAAGCCAATGTTTCCAGACTTCTTCATTCAGGAGATTCAGAGAATGACATTCCAAAAATCACCAAACCAAGACGAGAGAATGGGTGAGAATAAGAGAATTGATATCCAATTAGAACATCTGGCTGGAAATTGCCCTTTACTAAGAGAGCAGGGCTTTGGACAGCCTCCTGAACCACTGACTAAAGTAAGGGAGCCAGAGCCAGGTGCCAGAAATCTCTGCCTTATCACTTCTGAGGAGACACAACAAGGAGTTTAATATGAGATGTTCTCACCCCTCTCACCACTTGCTCTGAACACAAAGTTGGCAGGTCTGAGGTTAAACACCATCCTCAAGTGTTAGTCCTCGTGGGTGGGTCTAATTCTTATCCTAGCTCATTGGTCTAACAGGATCCAACCCAGTGTAGTGCGTTTGAGAATATAGCTACCCAGAGCTCAGTTCCCATATGAGTAAAGTTGACAGATTGATACACCATTTTGAGCAGGAGCCAGGTCTGTCAAGTTGTTGAGGTGGTGGGGAGGAGAGCCCATTTCAGTAGTCTGGTGTTTCCTCAGAAAACCAGACTTTGCTCCGCCCCATTCACAACATTATTATGATTCTCTGATTCTTTTTTTTTTTTTCTTCTCTAGGCAGGTGAAAGCTGCAGATAATACCATCAGGAAGAACCTCAAAAAGAAGTGAGCATCAGGGTAAACAAAACTTAGTCACCATTTTAGGGAAGTGGGTCTCAATCCTGGTTGTACATCAGAATCATTCAGGTAACTCAGTCTGGTGTCACCCTAGAAACCTGAATGGAATTTTCAGAGGTGGGGCACAACCAGGTTTGAGAACTGCTACCAGGGCAAGAAGCATCAGTGATGCTGTCATCTTGAGTACCAGATAGGCACCGACTATCAGGACTAGAAATAAAGCTGCAGTTTATCAACAGGAGTATGAAGCCTTGGGATAGCAGGGGCTGCCTGTGGTTGGTGAGTTGAAGATGAATGTTCTGGTGGTAGCAGAACCCTTCTCATTTTGGTGTTATCTTGGACATTTTGTAGTGCTTAAGACAGAAAAAATAAAAGCTAAAAGTTTGTAGAAACAGTTCTAACTCCAAATCTACTATTTGGGTGTGTTTTAAAAGTTCTGAAGGTAGGCCTTCCTTGGTGGCACAGCAGGTTAAAGCACAGCACTAAGAAGCTAAAGCCACTTCAGCATGAGTTTGATCCCTACCTGACCCAGAGGTGACCCACATGGCATAGCAGACTTCTGACCTGCCCACGGCTCCCCTCAGCAGTGTACTTCATCAGTCAGCCTGTTCTGCTCCCCACTCTGTCTCTGGTGAATCCTCTCACCACCCCTGCACCTCTGGACTATATCCCAGTTCTGTATGCATAAATAAATAAATCTTTACTAAAAAAAGTTCTGATGATAAAATACTATCAAAAAGGACTCTGAGAGCTTTTTTTATTTTAGATTAATTTTTTATGCATATAAGAACTGGGGTACAGGCTACAGGTGTGGGGGGTGAGAGGATTCACCAGAGACAGAATGGGAGGAACAGGCAGATCTACTGACATACACTGCTGATGGGAGCAGCAGGTGAGATAGGAGAGGTCTGCTGTGCCATTTGGGTTAGCTCCCTGCTGGGGATTGAACTAATGCCACAGTGGCTGGTGTTAGCTTGATAGTGCTGAAAGTTTAACCCCTGCGCCACCAGGGAGGCCCCATTGCCCATATCTTAACCCCTCTAATGGCAAGTGCAATTATTACAGCTATAAACCATTGAGTAAGCAGAAATCAGAGGAAGATCTCAAGGATAAGAATCAGCTCTTAGAGGCCGTCAACAAACAGTTGCACCAGAAATTGACTGAAACTCAGGTAGGAGACCTGCTGACCTCTGCCATGCAAATGGAAACTGAAGGACCTGTATTATCTGTATTGCCCTATGCCTCAGGGAAGAGAGAGGATGCCAGGCTTGTGTTGTGGGCTCTCAAAAGCAAGGGCAGAAAAGATCACCCCTGGGAAGTTGGGCAGGCCTGAGATATGTGCATGACACCCAAACAGGGAGAACTGAAGGACCTGACCCAAAAGGTGGAGCTACTGGAGAAGTTTCAGGACAACTGTTTGGCAGTTTTGGAGAGCAAGGGCCTAAACTCAGGTGAGTGAGTGCAGCTGCCTTCTCAGGAAGTGGTGTACATGCCCCTTCATAGAAGATTCTGGACTGTATGTCAAGTCTAGTGTGATAACATCTGGCTCGTCAGTACAGGGTTGCCAAGAAAGCCCTAAAGTCTTCTCATGATGTCTGCTTTGCCTGACTGACAGAATTTCAGATATTTATGGAGAGAGAATTATTTCTTTCTTACCTGAACACTTGTGACATTCATTTGTACCAACAGGTACAACATTACAAGTAGACCAGAAATAATACTTTCATTCTTTCAAGGGAGCTAGCATTCAGCTAACTTCCTCAGGTGGAAAGACTGTGAGATAATATTGTTTCAAGGACTCCTAAACCTGACTAACAACAGAATTACATTGATTAAAATGTAATTTCTGTTCTAATCTACCTAGAGATAGTTGTAAGATAGACAAATGTGATTCCTGTTCTGACCCTGTACCTAGAAGGGAACATTTGGCAAAGAGAATAGAAGAAGCAAACACTCATAGACTTAAAAGGGTTTCAGACTCAATTGAGCCTCAAAATGCCCATGGAAGGGGCCCAGACTTCTTTGAATTAAGGAATGCTGGCTTTGAATGTTACTCATTATCTTGTACATTTTAGGATATTCTCTTTATGATCACCATAAACGTGTGTGTGTGTATATTAAGATTTATTTATCTGTGCATGCATGCATTTAAGAACTGCGGTATAGCCCAAGGTGCAGGGGGTGAGAGGATACAACAGAGTGGGGAGCAGAACAGACCGATCTACTGAAACAACTGCTGAGGGGAGCAGCAGGTGATACAGGAGAGGTCTGCTGCACCATGTGGGTCAGCTCCCTGGTTGGAGATGGGACTTAATGCTGCAGCGGCTGGCAATAGCTTGATAGCACTGAGACTTTTACTCCTGCGCCACTGGAAGTCCTGGCAAAGCTTATTAAACTAAATCAAGAAAATTCCATGTATGCCTTTCCTTTGGATACATTTTCTGCCAAGTTGAGAAAGTAGAATAAATTTTTTTATCATATCCAAACCTAGAGAGGTAGGAAGTAAAATATAGCTCTGGGGGGTCAGGTGTGGGTGACCCCATGGAGGTAAAAACTCTGAAAAGATTTAGGGACTAGTGCTTAAGGAAGTTTCCCTACTGAATACTCCTGTACTAGTCCATAGCAGCGAGGGACATTTTGTTGAGGTACAGTTTTGTAATCTAGAATTACTTTATTGCTTCCATCAGTTTTAGGCAGTGAGACTCTGGTGACACGGCGAGAATCCAGCCCAGATCACATGGACTCTATGGTGAGGACTTGGGTGTGTGAGTGAGCGCCAAGTGACAGAGGGGCTAGAAGGGATGCAAGTCTAGGAGGGTCTCTGCCATGTGATCCACAAATCCCAAGCAGCAGCCTTTGGGAGTCTAGTTCCTAGTGGAAGAGAGTGGCAAAATATACTCAAAATAGTCAAAATACCATTCTACTTGGAAGGCGACCTTTTGCTTCTAAATATGAGCAAGTCTGAATTGAAAATATACAGCTTTGAAACATGTTAACAGGATTGAGCTGTATGAAGAACTTTCTGGTAACTCTAGTTCAAACCCAAATTCTCCCTATTCCTTTGCTGAGAACCATGTGATGCCTAGGTCCAGTCTGCATTAAAATGCAGCTTCTGTTTGGTCTTTCCTGAAGTGGGAATGTAGTTGGGATTAAAGTCTTTTGAGCTTTAATGATTAATCTTCCCCTGAACATTAATTATCTTGACTTAAGATCATTTAACAGTAAATATGGACACTTTCCTCAATTCCCCCACTCTGTTAGTCACCCCTCCTTTGGCTACTGTGGTTTCATAGTGCCTGTCTAGCACAGAGCTCATGGAATTGGGTTAGTCTGCCCTCTAGTTTAAATGACTAGAGGAAGCATTAGCAACCATCTAAATCAACTCTAATTTTATGTGAAGAGGTTGGTTTATATGTTGAAAATTTTCACATTTCAAAAAAAGATTTGTTATTACTTTATACTCTTCTCCTAGTTGCTGTTAGAAACTTTGCAAGATGAGCTGAAGCTTTTTAATGAAACAGCCAGAAAGCAGATGGAAGAGTTACAGGTGAGAAACATCTTGCTGAGGGAAGATTCTCATTTCCTAACACAATAGGTGCATTTGTTGAGAATGCTTTCTTATGTATTT